CACAGGCAGCGTCCCCATCCCCTGGCAGAACGAGGTACTGCAGGCCGTGAGCAGCCGCTGTTTACAGTCTGTAGGAGCCTTGGTTGGATATCCGACTCCTCCCACATCCGAGTCGGCCATTTTGATTAGGTCATGTGACTAGCAGCTTTCTGAGGTGGAAACGAATCTTTACTGTCTATATGAAAACAGAAGAAAAACGATGTCCTAATCCTAAAGCTAAATCTAACCCTAGCCCTGACCCTAAACCTAAATCTAACCCTAACCCTGACCCTAAACCTAGCCCTGACCCTGATCCTTTCCTTGACCCTAAACCTAACCCTGACCCTGATCCTAAACCTAAATCTAACCCTAACCCTAAACCTGACCCTAACCCTGACCCTAACCCTAACCCTGACCCTAAACCTAACCCTGACCCTAAACCTAACCCTAACCCTGACCCTAAACCTAGCCCTAACCCTGACCCTAACAATAACCCTGACCCTCCAGCCTTCACAATTGTGAGAAATAAATATTTTTTGGTTAAACTTGTTTGGACTTATTGTTCAAACCTATTTAACATCCACTATTTTAACATAACATCATGTATAGAGTTTAATTCAGTTTTTGCAAGATTCATTTCACTATTTTTAAAATAATATCTATATTGCCATGAAGCAATTAGGATTTTCTTGCCTGGGATCTTCCTATTGGTGACCTAATCAAAAGGGTCGACTTGGATGTGGGCGGGGTTGGATATCCATCCTTGGCTTCCTGCAGTCTGGACTTGGCGCAGTTAGCTCTGAACTCTCTCCATCTCTCCCTCCCTGCAGATGATCGAGATGGAGTGCTTCAAAGAGATCAACGTCTACGAGACGGACGGCATGCTGTGCTCGGACCTGGACGTGAACCGGCCCAACCCGCCCCCCAAGAGGGGCTTCTTCTACCGCCTGTTCAGAAGAGAGGCAAGTGCTAGCGCTCCTCCTGCCGTTCGAGGGGGAGGGGGCTAAGGTACTTCCTCTTCTCCTCCTTCCTTTGCTTCCTTTTTGCCCGGACTGCTCCGAGCTCAGCATGCCAGGAGTTCAGTTTGAGTTGGCCGGCCTTTTTCCCTCATCCTCCCTGGAGCTGAACCCCCCCCCCTAAATGTAGATTCCTTAAGACGACGTTTTCCTTTTTAGGGTTGTCAAAAGTATCGATACTAAAAGGTTGTATCCGGATACGATACTCATTTTCTGAAGTATGTATACCAAGTATCTATGCAAGTGCCCCTTCTGATTTATTTGTTTGTTTATTTATTTATTTGTTTATTTATTTATTTATTTATGTTGTTTATGATCATTAACTTAACGTTAGCCTTGAATTGCTAGCTGCGGCTAATGGCTAATAATAACACGCCAACCTTAATGTTGGCCACCATAACATCAGTAACAGGTCAGTTTGAAACCAAAGACGGTAACCTGTCCAAATTCAGTTACATTTTGGGTTTTTATCCTTGTGGTATCGAAAATGCTATCGAGTATTTTCCTGAGTATCAGTATCGAGTTGACAATTTTAGTATCGTGACAACCCTATTCCTTTTATCATTTTCCTTATCTGACTTAAGGCTTTGCATGACGACCCTTTTCTGTTCTCTTCCTTCTTGGCAAAGTGCCTTCTGCCTGCCGCCTTTCTGAGGCCTCAGTTTGACATTTTTGGTAAACCTACAGCTCTATCTGTGAATAAAGGGTCTCCCCGAAAACACTTTGTAAGCGATTGGTGAGCAGGTGAGTGCATTAACCCAAAAGCTCTGTCTGCGATGGGGTCAGAGGTTAAGGAGAAAGTGAGTCAGTTCGGAAACAAAAGTTTCTCCTGTCGGTGATCCTTTAAGTCTGGGATTTATTATTTATTTATTATTAACCCTCTGTAAATTCTATCCAAATTATTGGCATCATT